CCTCGCTCCCTGTCTCTCTATCTCGCGCTCTCTCTCTCTCCCTCTCTCTCTCTCTCTCTCTCTCTCTCTCTCTCTCTCTCTCTCTCTGTCTCTCTCTCTCTCTGTCTCTGTCTCTGTCTCTCTCTCTCTCTCTGTCTGTCTCAGGCGGTCTGGTCCAGGTGTTTTCCCGTGTACGCTGAGGTCGGCAGGCTGCTCTCAGAAAACACCGTCGGGGAGGTGAAGATGGTGAAGGTGTATTTTGGTCTTCCTCTGCTGGACCGCGAGCGTGCCACACAGAAGGAGCAGGGCGGAGGAGCGCTGATGGACATCGGCATCTACTGCCTGCAGTTCGCTCTGATGGTGTTCAAGGAGGAAAGACCAGAATCCATCCACGCCACGGGAGTCCTGCTGCCCTCAGGTACAATACACCGTTCATATCACCACCACAGGATTTACAGCCATATTCTTGTGCAGCTGAAGGTTTTTTATATTTTTTATTTATAGTGAATGTTCTCACAAACTTCTGGTAATGTTATGAACAAACATTCTTCCAATAACGTTAATAGAAAGTTAATTCAGTGTTATCTGGTCTTTAATAATGTTCTCAAAACATTAACACAAAAATCTTATTTGTGACCCTGGAGCACAGAAGCAGTGTTGAGTCGCTGGGGGATATTTGTAGCAATAGCCAACAATACATTGTATGGGTCACAATTATACATTTCTCTTTTATGCCAAAAATCATTAGGATATTAAGTAAAGATCATGTTCCATGAAGATATTTTGTACATTTCCTACTGTAAATATATCAAAACTTAATGTTTGATTAGTAATATGCAAGAAAAAAATCATTTTTTAAAAACTTTTAAAAACCTTTAAGGACTTAAAAGATCTTAAATCAGAGCAGAGATAAGTCTTAAAGTCAGAATGTTTCTCGCACTGCAAAAAAATGTCTTCCTCAGTAGTGTTGTTTCCCGGTTCAAATATCTCAACATCCTTAAATCAAGATACTTTTACCGGAGATGCAAAATGAAGATATTAAGTCATGTTTTCTGAGAAGTGGAACAAAATTAAGTTTTGAGTTTATGCTTAAAAAAGAATGTTTTCCCTTTGAATTAAGCCCTTTGACAGATATTTGTTCTTGTTTTAATCATAAACTCACTTCATTTTGACTAATTTGGTCATTTTGCTTCTCAAGTAAATGCATCTTGATTTAAGAGTCTTTAGACATTTGTAGTGCTTACTCAAAGTATTCAAGTATTTTTTTTTTTTTTTGTAAAATGAATCAAACTTTAAAGCATTGCTAATGCAAAACATTTACATTTAGAGACCATATTGACATATTGTGTTCCCTTCCCTTTATCTTTTTAAAAAAAGTCTTAAACTTACCTTCATGAAACCTGCAGAAAGCCTGTGTATCTTGATGGGAAAGTTAACAGATGCTCTCAGTGCATGTGTCCGTTCTCTTTTCTTCATCTGTGCATCTTCTGTCAGGAGTTGACGAGTCGATGGTGGTGGTCCTGAAGTTCTCTGGGAACAGGATGGCCATATGCGCTTGCACCATTGCTTGTGATCTTCCAAACGACGCCACCATCTGCGGAAGCAAAGGAATGATCCGAGTGAGGGACTGAATGAGAGCAGACACACGCGGGATTACTCTGATCCTCACTGCAAACAGGCCTACACATGCATTTTCAGCTCATTGGTTTGATTCTGTTCTTGTTTATGTGTTTCTAATGCAAACTAATTTTGCATTTAAATACATTCTTGCCACTTAGTAAAGCTATTATAGAACAGACGTGTAGACCTGTGTTGCCTTTTCAAACAGGGAGACATGTCAAATGCTAAATATAATATAATATAAGTATATAATATAATTAATATATGTATATAAGTAATATACAAATACAAAAACAAAAAGACAGGGCACAACCTAACAGTGTTATTTTAGTATAATTAATATAATTAATATTTTTCTGTTTTCATTTTAATTGTAGTTTTAGTCCTTTTTTTTTTAAAATAAGTCTATATAGATTTTATTAATTTTTATTTCAGTTTTAGTTTTAGTTATTTCAGTGCATCAGGTTAAACTAAGTAAAAATATGAAACGTTGCTTTGGCAAGTTTTTTTTAATTTTTTTATATATTTTATTTAATTTCTGTTAACATTTATTTTATTAACAAAAATGTTGCAGCCGTACACTTTTTGGCTTTGTCAGTTTGTGTAAATCCACTTGGGATTCAGATTTCTTTTTTTCCAAATTAATTCCACACGTCTGGTACAAATTTGTGGTCTTGTTTAATTAAGTGAAATGTGACAACATGGGGCACATTGTGACATGACCATATTACAGCTAAAAATGTTATCAGATTTTTTAAATAAAAAAAAATATATATATATATATATGACAAACTAAAATATTTAAATATTTTGAGCAAAACACAATTATTAACCTTATCATATAAATTAATAGCTTTTATTAGTAAATAAAATTAAACACATTTTGAAGAAGGTCATGAAATAATAATTTCTGAACATTGAGGATCTCCCTGTCTGTCTTTATTTGCTTATTTCTAAGGGTGCAGTAAACACAATTCATAAAAGCTAACCATGCAAACTGCATTAAATTAACCAGTAAGAAATGCACTGAGGTTAAATAAATGTTCAGTGATATCTTCCAAAAGATTCAGAATTTTTTGCACATTTTTTTCCCCTCTATATATTGTTGATTTGGCCACTAGTAAATAAGTTCTGGTCTGTGCACTAGGTGGCACATCCCATGCACTGCCCAACCACTCTGGAGGTGAAGGGGAAAGAGACAGAGTTTCCTCTTCCTGAACCCGGCCTGCCTCTGAACTTCAACAACAGCACGGGACTGAGATACGAGGCGGAGGAAGTCAGGCGCTGCCTGCTGAAAGGTGACGCATCTGTTAAACCTGCTGTTGGCTCATATGAAGTGCCTTCTGATGAAATGAGCATGAGCTCTGCGTCAGGATGACGTTTATGTTGATCTGTCTTGTAGGACTGAAGGAGAGCATCAAGATGTCCCTCACAGACTCCGAGCTGCTCATCGAGATCATGGATGAGGCCCGGAGGCAGGTGGGCGTGGTTTATGAGCAGGACAGCCAATGACTGGCCTCCATTCCTTGATTGATCTGATTGCATGGTGCTACTCAAGATAAGGAATCAATCATGCTTGAACATTTGTGTAATAAAAACGTATTTGTGACAAACTGCAATAAAAGTGACACAAACACAGCGGAATCGGTGATGCTCACTTATAAATTATAGAGTTTGTTTAAAATATTGTACAAATGCAAAGCACGTTGACTTGACCTTGCATTTACGTTCATGGAAGTGGCAGATGCGTTCAAGGTACAAATGATTATTCATTTAATAGCCAGTAGCCTTTAGTTTTACATCACAGCCATGAACCATGATTTTCTGAGCCGAGCACTGCTCAATAAAGGCTGCAGGTTTGAAGGTATTGAGACACATACAATGCACATTTTACAAGGCATTTTCTGCATTCATTTATAATTATTTAAAATGTTCTTGAAAAATAAAAACACCTCCACAAATCCATATCTAACATTTTAAATAACTTATCAATAATACATATAATTTAATACATAGTAATACATACAATTTAAATATAATCTAATACATATCATTTAGAGTACTAGCTTTCTTGAAAAAAATTATATAAAAATAAATAAATGCATATGTATAATTAACTGGGTTTTGCTACTCTTTAGAGCCAGTGGGCATTATAAATACCTTTTTTTTAAGCTAATATTTATTCATTAATTTATTTATGTATTCATTGATTATCATTTATAATACAGGATTAAATATTTCCTTAAAAACAAACAAGCAAACTAAAACAAATTCATACAGTATGTTTAATAATCTGGGTTTTGCTACTCTTCGGAACCAATTTTACAAACTTTTTTATTTGACTAAAAATTGTTTTATGGCTATATATATATATATATATATTGTAATTTTGTTACCCTTCAGAACCAATGGGCATTGTAAATAACTTTTTAAAGTTAATAGTTATTCATTAATTTATGTATTCATTGATTATGATTTATATCTACATTTTAAATACAGGATTTTTTTTGTGTCGCTGAAACACACGTTGGGTCTGAATGGGTTAAGATGATTTTTCCAGCAACAGTGTTGCATGATACTGTTTGAAACAATGATTGTTGCATATTATGTATTATTACTGTGTAGTGTTTCACTTTCACATACTACAAAAACAGTAGTAGGCAGTATAGAGTATATTCTGCACAGTGTTTGTCACCATCTGCTGTTCTTACACACACACACACACACACACACACAGTGAGACACAGACGCCTTCATGGTGATCAGGTGGGGAATCTGCAGCGCTGGGAAAATCAGTCATGACTCTACAGTGGCACTGAAGACTCTGCAGCAGGTAAAGAGCCGAAACACACCTGTTGACACGAGAAAAGCGCTCGAGAGAGACTTCAGGACACTTTACACACACATGCGCACCGAATGAGCGTGATAACAGAGTGTCTACTGATGATACAGACCACAGACACACACCTGACACGCACCGAGTCTCATGCATAAGACACTTTAACACGCATTTCACAAACTTTCTACATGACCTGCCGAGTGTGAGCAAAGCGCACAGCTGAATCGGGCAGTTTTACTGTGCAGCGGGGAAACAGCGACACCACTGCGATCTGGCCGACATCGGTACTGCACTGTGTTACACACACTGCTGCTCAGAAGTTTGGGGTCACTAAGATTTTTTATATATTTTAAAGAAGTCTCTTCTGCTCATCAAGGCTGCATTTATTTGATCAGAAATACAAAAAACAGTAATATTGTGAAATATCGTTGCAATTTAAAATAATGGTTTTCTATGTGAATCTCTGTTAAACTGTAATGTATTTCTGTGATGCGCAGCTGTATTTTCAGCATCATTACTCCAGTCTTCAGTGTCACATGATCTTCAGAAATCAGTATAATATGCTGATTTATTATCAATATTGGAAACTTCATATTTTTTTGGGAACCTGTGATACTTTTCAGGATTCTTTGATGAATAAAACATTAAAAAAAAGAACAGCATTTATTCAAAATAGAAATCTTTTGTATACGCTACCATTCAAAATTTTGTAATCTGTATTTTTTTCCCCTTTTTTTGAAAGAAACAAATGCTATTATTCAGCAAGGATGTGATAATATAGACTTATATTGTTAGAAGAGTATATAAATCTGTTCTTTTTAACTTCATTCATCAAATAATCCTGAAAAAAGTTCCAAAAATATATATATTAAGCTGCAAAACTGTAATAAATCAGCATATTATACTGATTTCTGAAGATCATGTGACACTGAAGACTGGAGGAATGATGCTGGTTTTGATCACAGAAATAAATTACAGTTTAACACATATTCACATAGAAAACAGCTGTTTTAAATTATAATAATATTTCACAGTTTTTACAGTTTTTCTGTATTTCTGATCAAATAAATCCAGCCTTGTCGCTGATCCCAAACGTTTGAACGGCTGTGTATACTATAGCATTTAATCACGCACAACAAGAATAAATACATTTACACGAAACATAAAATCTGGTATTATTATTAATCTTCTAAGAAGGATACAATGCTATTTTCTGACCGGATGACGGGAGTTTGCTCAGAAACACAGCATCCCTCGCGCATGCAGCAGCTACGAAGAGCTGGCCAGAGATGCAGAGATCAGTGAGACTTCACACTGATCTCAGAACAGCTTCAGCTCGTGTCTGTTAATGTGACAAGACTCCTGTTGGAGCTTCCATCCTAATAATTCCATCGCTCATGAGATCAAATAAGAATTCTCTAAGAACCTGCGTGATTAACTACAGTTGATGGAAGCCAACGGAAATGAATCAAAAAGGTAATTGCGACTCTTTGTCTCACAATTCTGACTTTTTTCTTGCAATTGTGAGAGAAAGTACGAATTGTGAAATAATGGGGGAAAAAATCACAATTACCTTTTTTTTAAATTCGATGGCGGGGGGAAAAAAACTAAATCTGAGACACAAACTGAGAATTCTGAGAAAAAATATAGAATTGTGAGATATATAAACAAAGAATTGCCAAATGTAGGCTAAACTTGGAATTGCAAGAAAAAAAGTGAGTTTATATTTCAAAATTCTGAGGGAGGAACAGTCAGAATTGTGAGATATAAACTTGCAAATTCCAAATAAAAGTTTGAATTGTCCAAAAAGTCACAATTCATATTTTTTAAGCTTCCATATTAATTCTAACAATTTTTGTAATTATTATTTTTTATTTGATTCTATTAGATATCTTGATATCTTTTTCCAGAGCATCATCAGTTGTTTTATTAGTATAATGTATTTTCTTTTTTCTTTAAATTCAATATGTTATCCTGTTGATAATCATAATAGTCCTATTGAAGATTATGACTTGTACTGGATCTTTTTGGTTTTATATGGGCTCCTGTAAGAAGATGATGAAGGAATGCAAAAATAAAAAAGGTCGTTGCAACTTTGTATCTCAGAACTTTGTCTTCTTTTCTTGGAGTTCTCTTCTTGCAGTTCATTTTGGGATAAAAAGTTGCATCTGACCTTTTACTCGGGTGAGCGTGCTACAAAAGAAGAGAAACCACTGGCCGGGAACCTGAAGGAGGTGCAGGAACACGTCTTGCTCATGGAGGTCGTGCATGACTTTATTCCGAATAGATATCTTTTGTAACATTATAAATGTCTTTACTGTCACTTTTTATCAATTTAACATAACCTTGCTGAATAAAAGTATCAATTTCTTTTGAAAAATCTGGAGTGTATAATGTTACAAAAGATTTCAAATACAGATCTGATCAGACTAAATTTAAATCACTAACTATATTTACTGTTTTAAAGGCTTTTTAGACTGACACAAAACAACATAAATGCAGAAATAAAGGATATTGTGTTGAAACAATCATTCATGTGAAATTCACAACTGTTTAGTGTTTAACAAATATGAATTTTTAATAACTGACGGAGATACTGATATCTAGAGGAGAGCGGCCAATGCTTAATATACATAAATAATAAACAATATTAAAATAGATTTAAAAAAATTTTTTTTTACAATATTAAAATAGACTTTTATTAATCAAGTTGATCAAAAGTGACAGTAAAGACATGCATAATGTTACTAAAGATTTCTATTTCAAATAAACTCTTCAAATTAATCTGTGAATCCTCATATGTCTTTAAATGCATCAGTAAATTAGCCAGATAGATTGATTGACTTTGTATCTCATGCAGGCCCGCATCAGAAAAACATAATTTTTTTTATTTCATAGATAAAATACATTTTAGTGTGCTTCACAGGTTAGAATTTAACATTTAAAGTGTTTACAACATTTGAAAATGATTACAAATTAAAGAAATAATTTGACAAGGAAATGAATCATTTATTGCAGTGACTGAAAATAAAAAGAAATGTTATGTTACTATTTCTTATTTAATAATATGTAATTTTAAAAACGAACTTGAAAAAGTGTGTTAGTAAATTAGCCATTTAGATTGATTGACTGTTTCTGATGCATCAGAAAAATTGAATAATAATACTTCTTTTATATTTATTTGTATAGACACACAAAATGCATCTCAGTGTCGCTCGCACGTCAGAATAATAACATTTAAAAAACCTAAAGCATTTAAAGTAAAAACTAAAATTAGGGAAATGGATGGGGGGAAAATAATAATAAAAGAATGCAATGACTGAAGAGAAACACTAATTTTAATAAGCAAATTTATTTAATTTTAATATTTTAACTTAAAAATATATATCTCCCAATATTTGGAGCTTGTCTTAATTTTCATCATCAGTGTGAATTAAAGCAATAAGCACAGAAACAAATGAAGCATTCAGGGCTCCCTGGGAATCAAACCCATTAGCTTTGTGTTGCGAGCGCTGTGCTTTATCAGTCAAACGACGGGAGTTTTAAGCTTGTTTTAAAGGCACATGTTGCACTCAGAAAAAGCCGCTGGGGAAAGTTTGGGGTGTTTTTGCTCATCAGGTTCCGGCTCACATGTGGTGCCCGACGTCTCTGATGGTGAACGGTGTGGAGACTCAGTATCCGGTGCCAGAACCGTCTCTGCCGCTCAACTTCATCCACAGCACCGGCATGTGTTACGAGGACGAGGAGGTCCACCGCTGCTTACTCCACGGTACACAACTACACAATCAGCACTCACGTT